TGTGTGTGTGTGTGTGTGTGTGTGTGTGTGTGTGTTGGGGGGGGGCAGGGGGAAGCAGGGTAGAATAATGAGAGATTGGGGAGAGGGGGCCAGCTCTGCAGTGGGGGCCTGCAGAGTGGAGGGAGATGGCAAGAAGGGTCTAGGGCTGAGCTGCGCCCCCATGTGGGAGATTTGGCAATTAATAGTTTTTTCTGACACATGTATTTGAAATAGTTTGGGGAAGTTTTATAGTTGCACAGAGATGTAAGACATCATCATAATAATCCAAGTCTTAATCAAAGGGCTGGTAGAGAAGAAGTGGGTAAGGTTAGGGGAAAATGACTTCCTAAACCAACCATTGTAATCAGCCAAAGCCCTCCCACCCAAATGTTGGCCCCATGTGGTCTAGTAGAAAGGAACTGCATTTGGAGTCAGAACAAATGAGTGAATGAAAGAGCATTTATTTTTTTTGTTTTTGTTTTTGTTTTTTGGTGAGGCAGTTGGGGTTAAGTGACTTGCCCAAGGTCACACATCTAGTACATGTCAAGTGTTTGGTCTGAGGCCGGATTTGAACTCAGGTCCTCCTGACTTCAGGGCCGGTGCTCTATCCACTGCACCACCTAGCTGCCCCATGAAAGAGCATTTATTAAGCACCTGCTGTACGCCAGGCACTCTTGTTAGGCGCAGAGGGTACAAAGACAAAAAGGAGACAGTCTGTGCCCCCCAAAGAGCCCTTGTAAGTAGGCCTGGGGTTTCCTGGTAGTTGAGCGAATGGGAGGTGAAACATTGTCTGGGGTTGGCTAGACTAGAGTAGTCCAGGTGAGTTTGTATGCACTCACCAATCAGGACAGTTCACCCCAGAGCAGAATTCCAAAACTGAGAGGACCAACTCCTCCAGGGAGCAAGGAAACAGAGCACCTGAGTTCAAATCCTGGGGACCTCCGGCCAGTCATTTGATCACTGGGCCTCAGTTTTATCATCTGTAAAATGAGAGGTTTACTAAATGACCTCTGAGGCCCTTTCAAATTAGAAATATGCTATCCCATGATTCTCCTGAAGGTAGAGAAAACAGGAAATAACCTTGGGTCTAGGTCTGAAATGAATGTAGGAGCACTGTTCCTCCATCCAAACCCATCCTCAGGAAACATGGCCACCTCCCCTGGCAGGGGGGGACTCTTTATGAATGTCACACCATGGAGTGGAGGTCACTTTCCAAAACTCTGCAGATTGCTAACAGTGCTAGCAAGAGGACAAAGGTGAATAAAGTTGAGCTGCATCAGGAGGGATTAGGGTCTGGCATCAGAAATGATTTTTCAGGGGCTGTTCCCCAATATGTGGAATGAAAGAAAGGGAGAATGCATTTATTAAGCACCTACTATACCCCTGACTCTGTGCTAAGTGCTTTACAAATATTGTCTCACTTGATAATGGACAATAGCAATCCTAGTCAGTCTGGACTTTGTGAGGGATCTTTGTAACTAGAGGTAAAGAGCCAGATGGGGTTCTTTTCAGAACCTTTTCCCCTACTCCCTCAAATCATATCTTCTTCCAATAATTGAGAACAGAGCCCCAGTCTGGACCTCCCCTTGTGTCCTGAGGGAAGGTGGTCTCAGAGAATGGGGTCTAGGGGAACATCCTGCTATGCTTATTTGAATCAGGACCCTTAGACTTTCCTCTCCTCTCACTCATCATCTAGACATGTTAATTTTCTCTAGAGATATGAAGGAATACCACTCCCCCCCCAACACTCTAATCTATTTTTCCCCACTCCCTAAATCCTGACTCCAAAGGAAGGAGGTTCTTTCCAGGGAGTAGGGGAATCTGGAGACTTTCTGGGGAAATTGCTTTTCTTCTGAGCTCAGAAGCTGGTAGGGAGATGTGGGGAGGGTGAGAATTGGGGGGGGGGAATGGAGACTGCACTGAAGCAGAAAAGTGTATTTTGTTGATTTGAAACTTGAGTGAAATGGGTAATGAAGACAGATCGATGGCGGCCCTTTTCCTGCTCCGCTGCTTGCCTCCCCAGTTCTTTGGGCCTCCCTCCCGTTCTCCCTACTCCCAAGGGTTCCCTGAACATCTCTCCAGCCAAATTCAATTGAGTTCCCAAATTTGGTGTTAAATTTCTGACTGTGGCCTAGGGAGGGGTGGTCAACATCTTTTGCCAGGGCTTGGAGGGAATGAGAGGCTTGGTGCTCAATCATTAAAGAGGTGGGGGTTTGGTACCCTTGGGAGGACCCACTATTTCCCAGCCTCAAATTTCCTGCAAGGATGTCTTGGATATTTTTCCTTCCAGCATTTCAGAAGTTTCACCCACTATCTCACTTCAGTCCTTCCCCCTTCAAGTTCAGGCCTGGTCCTCTGTTCCTCAAAGTAGAGAGAGTATAGTCATTCCTGATACCTTGTATTTGGACACTCCCAATCATTTTCTGTCAGAGTTCAAGCTAGGATTTTTCTCTCTCTCTCCATCCTTTTCCAGGGTCAAAGGAATCCTTATATAGCTTTTAAGGTTTGTAAAACACTATTAACATGCATTATCTCATTTGATCCTCACAACAACCGTGTGAGATAGGTGTTATTATTATCATTCCTATTTTATAGAGGAGGAAACTGAGGCAGACAGACATGACTTGCCCATGGTCACACAGCTAATATGTGGCTGTGATAGTATTTTAACCCAGGTTTTAAAAAATGTCTTATTGATGGGTTTTTCCTATCACTGTCATTTCCCAAAGATTCTACCCCCCACACACACCCACACCCACACATATACTCCCTTAGAAATCACTTAATTTAATCTGTCTTCTTGATTTCAACTTGCAGCAAGACATCTACTATCCACTACATGATGTTCAGTTGAGGGTTTGGCTCCAGTGCATCAGTCTCATTCATCTGGGGGACCCCAGCCTGATATGAACCTGTCCTGTCACTATTCCATGATCCCTCTCCACTCAGTCTTTACCAGCCAAGATGCTCTCAGTGTAAATGATCTTTGGCTGGGAGAGAGAACTAGTTGGAGGGAGGGAGGGGCGGCAGGACCGTTGGGGGAGATTCTTTGGCTCTTAGCTCCGGGGCAGGGAGGAGAGGGTTTAGGGGCGGGTGGCCTGTGACTCTTAGCCTTAGTAAGCACTTTACTGGGCTGGCTCCTGGCCAGATGGTGACTCATTAACTTTGCTGAGCTCACTATCTGGCAGATGCCCATCCTGACACATCCCTAACCCAGGCCTCTGAAGCCGCGGGGAGGAGATTGGGGGAAGCTGGAGTCCAATTCTCATGAGACAGAGGAAGTGAGGCCCCTTGAGAAAGGGGTTAAAGTCAGGGATGTAGGCAGCTATTCCTTGACTTGGCCAAAGGCATCATGATGTCAGCTGTGCCATTTTAGTGAGCAGCACTCATTCCATGTAACTTCTTGGACCAAGACAGAGTGGGTTGGGCGCAGGCCCAGAGATTCAGTTGTCTTGATAAACTGAATCACAGATTCACAGATGCAGGGGACTTTAAAGAGTCATCTTGTCCACTCCTTTACCTCCAGACCAGACAGCCACAGGGGGAGAGGGTTAGTCTCCCCCGGAAAACAGATCCCCATAGCGTCTCTCACTTATTCTTCCTAGTGACTCATACTTTTCATAGCCAGAAAGTTCTTCCTTGTGTCTGACCTCAGATTCTCCTGTTGTGGGCCAAATCTGTGTGTTCCACTCCCACCCCCATCTCCCCAGAAGGAAGCATGGTGTAAATGGAAAGAACCCTAGAATTAGAGTCATAAAACCTAGATTCAAAATCCCAACTGCTACTTACTAGCTCTGTGACTTTGGGCAAGATAGTTCTCTCT